TTTTTTTTTTTTTAGAAAAGCTATTTTCTTGTTTCTTTTAATGACTCTTGTAGTCCCATGCACAACTGGATACTGTCACCTTTATATACCAGATTTTCTTTCCCCATTTCCCCTTGGGGTTTTTGGAATGTGAGCTGGCAGTGTTCTGGACTAGCCAGAGAAAATTATGCATGGTGAAGTTTGAAGTTGGTCCCAGGAGAATGGATGGTTTACTTGAAGATTGTAGAGCCATCATTTATTTTTGCCAAAGTCTATTTTAACTGGAAAATAAAAATACATATACATGCAGAAAAGGAAAAACTTGTCCTGAAATTGCAAGCTTGTGTGTTCAAGAGAAGCAATGTACAAAATCTTTTACTTTCTGTACAATGACAATATGAAATAATTTTTTAACCATAATATACACAACACAAATATTATGAATAGAAAGCTATAAATACTTTCAAATGAATTTGCAATATAGAGCAGTCGAGGGCCACAGCTGTACAAAATGTAAGCAACATATATAAAACGATTAAGAAAGTGCAAAGTAGAACAGTATCAAGAGCCTCCACTTTTTACAGCACTTATGGTTCAAATGTGAAGAGCTGGCAGGGATGCAGAAGCTCAGTTACAATTCAAAAGACACAGTATAGGATTCAGCACACAAAATTATGAACTATTATTAAATTATATCATCCTCCTTCACATCTATGACTTCCAGTTAATAAGATAACATTTTTGTAATGAATTTCTGGAAAGAGTGATTTGTCCCTTTTTACAAGTTTCCAGGAAACAAAGATTCCTTGGCCACAGACTACTTTTCTGTAAGTAAAACAAAACTAGACAGGGGAAACTCCTGTTGGTTTCTGGTTGTCTTGTCATGCTTACCACAGTTAAAAGGTGAACAGAAATACCTTCCATAAAGGAATGCAGACATTTAAAACCTGATCCTCTAGCTTATGTCCAGGTAACCTGTACCAGTACTCTTGTCTAGAGAATCAGTGCCTTAAAAACATCAATAACCCCTCAAAAAAACCCACCAAAACTCCGAGTTTCACATCTGTTTAGAGACCACTGCTCATCATTTTCACAGCTGTTTGCCAGTCCAGATGCAAGTTCTGCATTCAGGCACTGATTTCTCATCAGCACCCCCGGAACAGTGCAAGTCTTTGTTTTCTTTTACACTCTGTGTTCAGTGGAAAGCTATTTGGTGAGTTGGAAGTTGAAATAGTTAATTCAATGCTCTCGAGTGAAATTTCTTATGACTTGTTTGTAGAAAGCTTTTCAGTTCACCTTTGTTTCAATAAGTGTACTTTCTATTATTTTGTAGGCACTGTAAATATTCAAGATACTGATGTGCAGAGGAATCCATTCTCAAGCAGTGTGTTTCTAGTGATCTCTAGCAAGTTCTTGACTACTGCTGTTGTCTTGGTTTTGTTTTTAAATGGAGAAGGGTAGACATTAGATACTCCTTTTCCCTCCTTGCTAGAAGGAAGTATCCTATTACAAGTGTCCTATTATGACAGAAGAATCATCACAATTACATTATTTTTTCTTCTTTGAAATATAGGCCAGACTTCAGCATGAGTTAAAGAGAAGTTATAAGCAGTCTGAATATGCTAGAGAAACAATAAAAAACACCTGGTCACACTGCTTCACATCATGATGTCTGTCTCAAAACTGGAGATGATCACACAAAACTCTGTGAAGACTAATGTCTAATCTGCTAATAATTAAGAATTTGGAGTCTAAGATATTATCTTTTTTGCTTTATAGCAATTATAGAAACAGTCATCCATTTGGTGTATTTTTTTGAAATGTGTGATATCTACAGTATACACAGACATCCAAAACTGAGGCATGAGAAGGAACCAGCTGCACAAGTGCCAGATCAGCAGAGCTGTTTATTTGCCTCCATACATTCTTTCAATGTCGTTGAGGTAATGATTTTTCAGTTCTTTCCTTTTCAGCTTGAAAGCATCTGTTACTAACCCAGTCTCGGGGGTCCACGGTTCAGGGCTTAACCGGACCTTGATGGGTATTTCAAATCTTTCTAATTTCACTGCAGAGACAAGAACAAAGAAAAGCATGACTGTGATTACAAAGCCAAATGAAATACTAATTCAAGTTCCCTAAAAATCTGGTCAGCACCCTGTAGCTTGTATAATATACTGTCCTACTTAATGAAATAACCTTACAGAAGGGCCACAGGCAAATTTCTTCCTGTCCCATCATTGACTGCTAGTTAGTGTGCAAATACTTTAATAACACTCTGTGTTTAGAGGTTGTATTGGATATGACAAGGCAAAATCTAAAGCTTGAAACAAATGACTGAGTAGCCTGAAGCTCTGAGACTACTGCCACAAGAGAATACACTGAAATCTACAGTTGTATCTTTGTTAAAGGAATGGAATAACTAGGTTAACTTGGACTAGCTGGACATGCATCATATTTAAATTATAATGAAGTACTTGTACACTTTCCCTGGTTGAATGTTTCTTTCCTATTTTTTTATTTCTAAAAGTCTGATTAGAGTTCAAAACTAAGGGACTACTTTGTATTTTTTTTACATTAGCCACTTATTTTCCCTTCAGCTGGAATCAGTGGCTTGGCACATGCACAGCCTCATTGCAGCCAAGGCTGCTTCTCTCTTGCACAGGTAATAGCCTAAGAGGGGGGAGCAAGGGAGCAGAAAGGGAACTGCTTCAGGGGTAAGGGCAGGAGCAGCAGGAACAGCACAGGGAGCTACTGCATGTGCCCAGTACTGCATGGTTTACTACCAGCTCCTGCATGTAGGCTGGGAATGGGCTCCACAGACATGGCCTTGTAGCTGAATTCCAGCACAGCCTCTGGGGGCAGCAGAAGTGGGACCCAGCAGCTCCTCTGCCTTTCTAACTTCAGCTGCTATCAGGATGTGCTGATGCCTCTCACTCAGATGCATGCCTGCTCATGATGAAGGTGCATCATGCTCTGCTAAGAACAAGAATTACCACTTTAAAACAGTTTTGAAAAAAGTTTCACATAAATTAGCTGTATCTCAAGAGTAGATCACTATCTGGAAATCAGAAAGAATACATAAGCAAAGGATTTAAGTACACAAAGCTATATGGATAGTAATTTGCCTAATTCACAATAAAAACCCCCATGGATTAAAGTGTTTAAACCTAAGCCTTAAACATATGGATTGATTTATTTTTTCAAGGTAAGCCTTAATAGTGCCTTTCATCCTTGTTTTCTCATTTTCAAAAGGTAGATTCTCCTCTATGTTCAAGAGAAAGTGCTTAGCATGTGCTTAAGTGCAGCTTTTACTGCTTCCTTGTATGAGGTGCCAAGTGCTTTAGACTCTTCCCCACTGAGTTTATTCATTTTTTTGTCCCATAAAGGGCTGATGGACACTTTTGATCATTCAGTACCACAGCAAAGAATAGCAGGCTTTTAAGCCTCTACAACCACAAGGATCATGGCTGTTCAAAGCAGTAGGGAACAAAATTATATTGGGGAAAAAATGCTTTGAAATATCTTGCTTAACTAGTTTCCTTGACAGCAAATGCCTTGCAACTTTTCTTCCAACTGACAGCTCTTTTGGACCTTATTTTAACCATATTAGACAAGCAATTTGTATTTTTTACAAAATATCTGAAGGTTTTTTTTCAACTAAACTCTGGAGATAAGAAGCATAGTAATCAATACAACCAGTATTATGTAATAATAATATGCAACAATTTCACACGGTCTTTGCCTTGATAAACTATTAAGTTTTGTGAGATACAGAGAAACTGGAAGAAGGAGGAGCATTCAGTGAAGATAATGACAGTTTTTGCTGGATAAGCCTCCATGGCCAGCAGGATGTGCTGTGGTACTTACTCTTGTTTGCCACTTCTTTAATCTCTTGCAGTATTTCTGCTTCCATTGTAGGATGGTTACAAATGTCCACCCAGGTTCCACTGATGCCTTTCTGCTCAGCCAATGCTGTCAGCTTCTTCTGGTTAGGGACCACAAAACTGATCACATAGGACTGATCACTACACAGAGTGGCAAGAGAAGGAAGGAAAAAAGGTCCAGTCAAGACTTTCATTTCAGGTTGTAAACTACCAGCTGTTGGACCCACAAATGCCCAGGGCTTTCTGAACTGGAGTTATTCCACCATACAGAATCCTTCTTGAGCATTAAGTCTTCACATCTGATGGCTTATCAAGAAGATATTCTAAGCTGGTTTACATCATCAGGTTTGATCAGAATGAGCCTTTGCTGCCATTTAGCTCCCCAGCTAGACCTGGGGTTTAATTACTTCTCCTCAGTTCCTCCTCACATAGGGAGAGAGGGGAAGATATTGGGACTATTTCCCAAACTCATTGGAAAGCTTTGAATCGGGTGCAAAGTGTCCAGATTAACTTTTCACTGATATTCTAGCCAAAACACATGCTAAATATAACAACATATAATGATATATGTAGTTTAGTGAAAAGGGATGAAATGGAACAGAAGTGTATCGGGATAGGAGAAATGCCAACAGAAAAATAGGCAATTTCTTCAGCTTTTAGGGAATCTGGGAACCTGGGCTTCTTCAGACATGGTGTTTCTAACTTGTACTCTAATGGAGGGGGTTATTAGAAGGAAACCATGAAAAACTATAGTTGGATCAGAGATGTGGATCATAGCCTGTACTTCATGTTTACTCTAAACAGAGTTTCTAAATTAATACCACTCTTACCTTTTGGCATAAGCACAGATATTGTCAATCAATGGGCAGTTCTTCAGTGCTGCCTCTACTTTGCCCAGAGATACATATTCTCCTGCTTGGAGCTTTACCAAGTCCTTCTTACGATCTAGGAGTCAGGGAAAACAAAACAAAAAAAAAACAAACCCAAAAGCCTCGTTTCATTTAAACTTCACCATTTTTCCAAAAACTCATTTCCATACCATACCATTACATACCACATATGTATTTTGTGCTATACCAGATCTTAACAGACAAATTTAAAAGCAGCTAATAGCTGCTACACTTTTTGTCACATAGCTTGTAGAAAAATATTCTGATTTTAAAGCTTTGTAATTAATACAAAAATTAATCTTGTATTTATTCTTTAAAGTCCATGTGCTAAATTTAGATGATGATAATGTCACAGGAAATGGCATCACTTCCAAAATTTTACTACAGCTATGAGGACTTTTGGAAATGTATTTTACACCTATTCTGTAAATAGGTAACTTTAAGTAGATTAGCCCAGGCAAAGCCAACAGTATTAATAACATGTTTATAATAATTAGTCAGTCAATATCTTGTAATATATTAAGGTATCAAAAGCTGAGGCCCACCTATGATCTGCAGACACCCATCTGGATGAAATTCCCCAATATCTCCTGTACAGAACCATCTCTGGCCATTCTCATCAACATAAAACTCTTCTGTTGTCTTCTCTTCATTTTTAAAATATCCCATGGAGACATTTGGTCCACCAATTATAATTTCTCCTCTAGGATTAGGCTTGTCTTTATTAGTATAGCCCCCTGAAAACAACAATCCCAAGCAATTATTTTTAACTTATATGTATCTTTCTGCCAAGAAAATACTTTGAAACTTCAGCTTGAAGTTAAAGCACACTAACTGATGACTATTATCAAAGATAAAGAACAATTACTTCATATGCTGCACCTAGCTAAGCAGATAGGCAAAGATACCAGCTAAGCAGGGGCTAAATTAATTATTCTGAAATCAGAACAATTACTACTCTCACCTTCTTGCCAGTCTCTCAGTTTTATTTCACAACAAATAAGAGGAGCTCCAACTCTGCCAGTGCTGTAATCAGCAACTTAGGGACAGAACAAGAAAGAAAAGCAAGATTTTTTGTTATTTGAAATACGAATAGGGTGTATCTTATCTCAAGTTACTTTACTTCAGAACTACAGGTATAGTATTGTAGCTGTATTTTGACTTATTTAAAAAAAAATTAAAACCATCAAACGTCCATACATTTCTATTCCTTAACTTACATATTTCCACAGGTGTTTTAACTACCTTCTGTAATGGTTCCGGCTCCACACGTTTCTGTCAGTCCATAGCCTTGACCAACAGGACAGCAAAAACAGATGTTCATGAATCTTTGTGTTTGAGGTGAGAGCGGTGCTCCTCCAGAAAGCATCATACGGACATTCCCTCCCAGCAGGGCCTTTACTTTTTTAAACAGTAGTCTTGAAAGAAGGCAAAAAGCATTAAAAATTATTCACTTAGCTCACTCTTATAAGAAGACACAAACCTTCTTCCTTACTTTCTATTTGGAACACCTTAAAAATTAATTTTTTCCCAGATTTTAGTATACAGCAGGACTAATCCAAACCCATTAGCTCTTGTGTAACACCTGAGGAGCCAGAGTTCCCGTAGCTTAATAGACATTCCAGTTTTAGCACTCAGAAAAAAAAACAACAATGCAATGAAAATTAACCAGGCAGCTGTTTGGAAGATTAGTCATTACCATGAAATATCTCACCTGTTTCCAGTAAGAACTTGGACTACTTCAGTTACTCATTAGGTGTTATTTGCATGTCATATGAGAACTGTCTGATAGCTCAGAGGATCATTCTTTTAGACTGTCCTAACAGATCCCAAGGCAAAATGCACCCTTGGCCCATGAACGCTACTTACATATTACACAGAGGTGCATCATATCCCCTCTTGATCTGTTCCAATTTGTAGTCATAGCCTATCTTGAACAGTGTTCTCTGAATATAGTTCATCTCTTGAACTTTACTCATGACATTTTTATAAATTCTGTCCATTATTTCCTACAAAGTGTTAAAAAAAAAAAGAAGATTACCACATGGGACAGACCAGCATGTGTAAATTAAGTATAAGTAATCCCCCCCCATTATTCTTCCTTTAAAATGGATAATAAAAGTGAAAATCTTGCATCATGAGGTTAGGTAGTGCTCGAGTGCAATGCTTTTAACATGTGATCAATGAGCCAATTTATAGACCATTGCAGCTTGGAGCTATTACACCTGAACCTGTACTTAAACTGTAATAAACTGATTTAGAAAATTTTGAATTCAAGTTTAACACAGTCTCTTTGCTAAAGGTTGGTATAGTCCCCTCAAGATGTCTCATGCTTGGGAGTGCTGATGCTGTAATTTATCCATAGCAATTGTTAAGTGCAAGGGAATAAACTAAGAGAATTCATTTAACCATTCCTTTTCCAAGAGAGTTCTTCAACTTTCAGAGCAACATGGTTGCAGTAATTCTAATTATCTGACAAAAACCCACCACAATTTTGTAACGGACCAGAGATTAATTTCCATTAAAATAATAAGATTACGGTCACCCAAATACACAGAACCTGAAACACTGTTCAGATTGGTGAAGTATTTAATGGAAGTTTAAAGATTGTGCTTCAAAACAAACTTGAAGGAGCCAATGTTTTGAAGTGTTTATGTGCTTTCTCCCCATGAAATAAATTTAAATGGATATTTTCCAAAAGGTTGGAGTTCTCAGACACACTAATTGTCACTCTGTTAATTATTAAGAAGATGACCAAGCCTCTATATGTGCCTATGATTTTATAAAACAGAAGAATGCAAGTGACTAAATTGATTTTACAACTCTTGGCTATTCTAAGATGTTGCAGAACAACCAGATCCAACCAAAACTCACTATTCCTAAATGAGATTAAATTCTCCTATTCACTCCCCACCACCATGTGGCATCACCCAGTGCTACCAGTTTTATGAGCCACAGATGTGACAGGATCCTAAAAGCAGCACATTTGGGGAAGGCCTTGGCACCAAAAAGACACAAACATTTGTAGAGTTTTTGGACAGCACCACAGCTTTGTGGACTGTAGGAGCCTGGTCACTCCCAGAGCAATGTAACCTGCAGAAGCAAGAGGAGTTACAGTCTCCTGATCACTCTTTCCTCTGAGAGAAGGCTAAGCCTGGCCTGCTAACCCTGAGAACAGCAAGAGAGACTCAGCCTCAGTGTCACCTTGACTTGCTAAGTCTGTGACTGAGCCAAATGCCCATATCCTTAAAGAGAATTCCCTCTTGGCCAGAACCACCCTATTTGTCCCTGTGGAAAAAGGAGGTCCAGACTGTGACTGTATCCTATTGCTGTGTCAGTAAAACACCACTTGTAACTACTGAAACATTTACAGGTTTGGATCAAAAAGGATCTTGGCTTTAGTAGAGGCAAACTCTTGTGCTCAACTGCAGCATCAATCAGTTCATCCATCAGTTCAATCCATCAACAGCTCGAATGTCTGTGTTTGCTCTTTTCCTATTAGTGATAGTTACTTGCATGTGAAGAGAAAAACACGCTAGTAAATATATTTGTCTAGCATAAAAAAGACAACTTTTTTTACTGGACATTCTGCTTCTGCATACTTACAGGCACAGCTGCCATCAGTGTAGGCTTAAGTACAGTACAGTCTCCTTTGCTTCCCTTCTTTATTTTACTTGACTGTAATAAGGAAAAAAATGTCAATTTATGAAGCTGAAAATGAAACAGCACTTGAAAACTAAAGGACTACCAAAAAAAAGGAGATACATTAGCATGCAGTTTGTTCAAATATCTTCCCCTGTTCCTGTGTCATTTTGCCCACACTGTTATGGAAAGGGTAATGATTAACATCTATTTCAACTGAAATAATCTTTTACAAGTTCACTTTGTTTATCTATCTTTCTCTTACTTCCTCCCTCTAGTACTTCCTTTCTCCTCCATCTTCCTCTGGGAGCTTGTTTTGCTTGATGCAAATCTCTCTACAAGCAAAACATACAGAGGTATCTATTCTGGCTTAATTTACTCTTATTTATCTGAATTGTTAAAGGGAAAAAGGCAAAGGACTAAATAAAAGATCTGCAATACCTGGATAAAGAACTGATAAAGGGAGACCAAAACTTAGAACCGCTTTAAACAGTTCAGCTGATCTATTAAGAGCTGTTCTTACGCTGTTATCCAGTGGATAACGCTATAGGCATTTATTAGGATCGCTTTTAGATTTCCTAAGTATCGTAAAAGCAAAGGTTCTAATAAAATTTATATGGTACAACCCACTGCTGTTGTTCACCACGAATGTTAATTTGCATCATTTTCTGAAAAAAAATTACATTTCTGAAGTGTCCCATATACGTCAGCATTTCTTTACTGAAAGAGGAAGCTGAGCAAGGAGAGAACAGGCTGCAAAAGGTGCAGTTTGCTCCCCACCTTGCTCTGCTAGCCCTCACCTGATCTGACAGAGTGAGAGGAGAGGAGTAACCAATCCTGCAGCCGTAAGTGATGCAAGAAACTTCTGCTGTCAGTTCTAACACATGGGCCAGAGGCAAATAACCAATATAAGTGTCCTTGGGTCTGGGAAAGAAAAAAAAAATTAACCATGAATCACAAGTGAACTGAAAATACCATTTAACCATTTTATTGTGTGGTTAGTTATTAATTTTTGATTGACGTGAATCACATCTGAGCTTATTCTCCTGCACACAAGACAGGTGTGATTTCAGTATATGAACAAATTGGGGAAATCTGCCCTTACTGAAATCAGTATGAGTTACAAGATTTGCCTTGTTTTCTAGGAAACTCCAATTCCTTAGTCCTTTACTGCTACTTCCTCTCCTTGTGGGAGGTTTCATTCCAATTATGAAATTAAGGATGAAATAATTATTTTAAAGTAATGACAAATGATTTACAAAGCCCTGTAAGTAGTTTTCTTCTAGGATACATTACTAGAAAGACAGCTGATTACTGAAGTACTGAGGCTGGCTGCAGAAAGTAATTGCCCAGAGATTTCTCAGCAAGAACCTTAGAACTGTCACTGAACAGCAGCTTTCAGCACCCAGCCAGAACTGGGTTTATATCCTCTCACAACAGCAGTCTGGCAACAAGGCTTATTTCAGCTATTGAACCCTTTGTGAATGCAGAGACAAATACACATGCTTCCATGAAAAACTTCCTCAAAACACTAATGTGAGAGAACTTGCACTTGGTTTTACTGTTGTCAATGCATAATCTATTACTTTTTTGGTCCTTCAGTGAACTGTACTTGAGTAGATTCTGCAGCATGTGCACCTAGAGTGGTATCTCCAGGTCAATGAAGTGCTAGGCTCTGACATGCTTCCTAAACTGATTCTAGGTACCTGAAAATGTCTAAAAACATTTCCCAAGTTGCACCAGAGGAGACATCTCTTATCTAGTGGTATTCTCTGATACTTAGAAGTGCAAAAATCCATCAGACTTAGAGCTAAGGGTAACAATAATAAAAAAAGCAACAGCATGTGAGAAAACAGCTAGAAGAGCATATTTTTCAAACAAGAGAAGTTCACACACACAAGACATATTTCTTATAAATTAAAGAGTAGTGGCCTCACAATAATATGAAGAAACTTGTTAACACAGTGCCAGCAGCAGACTCTATAAATGTGACACTTTTGGAAGTTGTTTTAGCTCTCTGTACATGAGACAACGAAGTGTTTCTTACCCCAGTCCAGGTATTCTCTCACACTGTCCTGTCATTCCAGCTATTAAGTTTTTATGCATCATCATCACTCCTTTGGGTCTCCCAGTAGAGCCACTGGTGTACATTACTAAAGCCAAGTCTGTAGGAACAGGTCTGCTTGGCAGAATGCTTGCTGAAAAATTCAGGAGAAAAACTGTTATTTATTCTTACCTACTTTCCAAGTCATTTCTGTAATTGATCAATGTGAAAACGTCTGTAATAATTGTGAAATAGGTGCTTCATGGAAGGCCAGTACAGTGAGCTGTTGCAATGTCAGTACTGGAGAGAATAGTCATCTGGTTTTAAGAGGAAGAGAGGGAAGGCTCATTTTGAAAGGAATGATGAGTATTTGAGCATCTACACGATCTGGGTGACAGTTTTGTCATTGTGGTTTATAGCCGACTGAAAGTTTCATAGAAGGAGCTTTCTGGAGACCAAATAAAACTGTCAAAGGCAACAAAGGGGAGAATACAGTACTGATGATAAACAGCAAGTTGAGTAAAAAATAAAACAAAAAACCAATACCCCAAAAAGCTGCAAGTCTGCTTTTCTGTCCATTAGTCTTTCAAAGCCAAGGTTGTAGAGGTACGATTCCTTTTAACTAACCCCCCCCCTTTTTTTTTTTTTTTATTTTTAATAAACCTTTCTCAGGTAAGCTGCAGGTTTAGTAGAAAAGCAGTAAGCGGGAACACTTGACTTCTGATTTTTGTTTTAGTCCTCTTTATTCTTAGGATGACAATCATCAGCTTTTCATGGCTTTTACAGTGTCTGCAAGGAAGTGGGTTTTTTTAGAGAATAACCCCAAGAAAACACACCCACTAGGGTCTGTACCAGCACCTCAGGCTGATCAGAGATTAGCAGCTGTGATGAACGTGTGTTTCCCAAAGCTCCTTTGCCAGTTTATCTCCTCCTTTATTCCAGAGAGATGTGGTTATAATTACAGACTGCTGATGTAAGGAGAACAGGTCATCAGGGTTGAGTTTTCCTTCCTTAAAGCAGATGTTTAAAGTCATTCCTGGCTGCCCAATGGAGCAAGGAATGTAAACGTTATTCCTCTGGCCTTAAGCGCTTTTTTAGCTACATCTTGGTTAAGACAATGGACATTTCCAAGCAGAAAACTAGAAAAGTGCTTTCTCCTCTTTTCTTAGAAAAAATAGTGACAGTAAGATAAACAAAAGGTAAGAGTAGCAGAAAATGAAACATTAAAACAGTTTCCATTTCATTTCCTAAAACAAAGATGAAGTATTAAATTATTCTGTTATGGTTTATAAGTTAAAAACCAAGTTTTATCCCGACATACATAACACATGAACAAAAGAATATAAAACTAATTTTTTTGTTTATTTAAAGGGAGGTGGAGGATGAACTGGCAACCTGCCACTGCCTTTGTTGGTGACAAAGGCCACCCTTTGCTGGGTGGGGGGTTTTCTGCTACACATTCCTCTTAACCCAGGTCTGATTTCACTGTTAACACTGCTTTATTAGTCAGTCCGCTGTGAAGAGATTCACTTACAGTTTTCTGGTTTGGCTCCCAGCTCTTTTACTGCCTGCATACTATGAATCTCCACGTTTTCAGGGTATTCTGATTTATTTATCATCTTTGTGTCCACATAAATTACATGTTTCAGACAGGAGACTTGTGGCAGCGCAGTCTACAGAAGAGAAATGAAATTTTTAGTAGTGTACTGACTGAACTGTAAGGTTGCTTATAGCAGGTGAAGATGATACCAAATTACCTTAAGTTTGCTCTCAAGGAGTTCCACACTTGTGACCAGATATGATGCTCCACACTCGTTGAGACCATAGGTCACTGCCTCTTCACCCAGGGTGGCATAGAGAGTGACAACTGTCACAGGGATGGGAGAGGACATGAAAGAAGGGTAAAAGTAATACTAAATACAAAAGCTCTTGCTTTAGTTTACTGCAAAGCACTCAGTTGGGAATTTTCTAATTTGGAAATAAACCAGCTTTTAATTTTTCCACATCAGAAATTTTATGGCACAAGAGACCTCTGGAACAAGGAGGACAGCTTGACAGGATAAAAGCATGGTCAAATTGGCTGATACCCCAAGACTGTCATTGTTTAGGAGGCCTTTGAACAACGCTCTAGCTAACAGGTAACTTTTAGTCAGCCCTGAAGTGGTCAGGCAGTTGGAAGGAAGGAACCTATAATGGTCATCTACATCCTCCTAAAATAATTCTACTTTTTCTATAGCAAAAAAGAAATTATCAGAACAACAAATGCACCAAAACCCAACAATAATGTACAAAGCAATCCCAGAATAAGCCACTAAGAGCAGGTGTTCTGCCCCTGAGCTCTCTGCAACCATAACTTGGGGGAGAAATGACACTCAGGCATTACAGGGCACCAGTTTAAAGCTAGGCACAGCTACAGGCAGCTAATTGCACACGGTCAGCTACTTCCCTTACTCCCATGGAATTAGTGATGCTGGCAAGATAGAGAATCAGACTAAGGAATTAAGACTGTTTTTCACGCTGTCAGATTATTTTTAACCCAGACTGGCTACAGATATGCCATTAAGTGCCTTACAGGCACAATGGAGTTCACCTCTCCCCACTATCTCTCTACTGAGAAAAACCCTTCTTTAATATCTTTTGTTATCTCAAACTGTAACCTCCAAAGACCATTAAGGGAATTTAACAGTGCTGTGAGACAGGACCCATGCAGAAGAATTAAAAGACTCATGTTATACAGCTATTTCTTATTGCCTTTCAAAGTATAGGGATCCAGACCAAATTAACCATAGTCTCCTACTTCAGTACCAAGGTCATCTTTTCCACTACTGCCCCTGAACAGCCTCTCTGCACACTCTGCTGTAGGAGCTGCTCCTTGCACAGGCAGCTTCTACTGCTGCTGGGAGAAAAAGAGATGGCCCAGTGCAAGCAAAAAAAAATGGACTGTGGGTCACAGTGTGTTGTGTGCAAAATGGGCACTGGAGTGCTCAGTAACCACTGCAGCTCACCAGGGAGTCTGCATGCATTAACTCTCATTAGAGATTTCTGAAAGCTTGAATTTAAAAAAAAAAAAAAAAAAGAAAAATCATACATAATTGTAATGAATTTGAGCTGCTTACAAATGTCACCAAAACAGACTACCCACAGACTATCACATGATTTTGTTTACCATTCTTGTCTTCTGATAACCATTTCATCTTTTGGACGTATAATTTAGGATTCAGTCAGAAAATATAATAAAAACATCCCATATTTTGTGGGGAAAAATACAACTACTGACATCTTCAGAATATTTAAAACAACCTGAATAGTAAGTGTACTATTCTGTGATTTTAACATCTAGAACATTAGTACAATAAAATAATAAAAAACAGGTTCATAAGTATCAGCAAGTTAATTTTAAGGATCTCGACGCATAGAATAGACCGAAAACTTCTAAGAATCAGACCATCATCAGAAAGTTTATGAAATTCTTACACCTCCAATGACAAGATTGGCAAAAAAACAGCTATATCTGTGCTGAGAAATGGTTCTAAAATCCATTAGAAGTAACGAAGGTGAGCACTCACGAGGGAAGTTGTACTTGAAGCAGGTGAGAGCTACAATCATCCACTCAGCTCGGGTCTCACAAAATATAACAACAGTGCTTTTCGGAGTTAGTCCCAGGGCGGTCAGTCCATTCCCCAAGCAAGTAATTTTCTCATTTACTTCTTCATAGGATAACCATCTATACGTTCCTAAAATTAACTTGAGAGGAAAAAACAATGAATTTTCATGACAAGAAGCTTCTGGTATAGGTCTACTGGCTGATGTGAGTTGGTGCATAACATCGTAAGTACACAGTCTGGCATTCATTAAGAAATTGCTTTCCTCTTACTCGAAGTAGAATAAATAATGCATCCTGTATATTCTGCTTTTCCTCAACTACCATAAAATGAATGGTTTATTAGACGATGACTCTAATGAACTCTAAAGGGACATGCATTGTTGAAGCAAGATACAAAGCAGCTCAAAACCAAATCAGAATTAAGTAAAAAATTGTAAGTTTTACCTTTTTGAATACTTTTCCGTTTGGCTGCATTTCATTTTCTTCACTCAGAATTTCCCTGGTTCCAAGACAGTCCTTCTTCCCAAACTTTGCTAAAGCATGGTCAAAGAGCTTGTCCAGCGTGTCTGCTCCAGGGATGTTTATGTTTGCTAGTGAGTCCAGGTGAGTGACAGAGCGGTAGGGGCTCCCTGGCTTGTCTGAGATGGGTTTAGCTTTTAACCGTTTTGCCATAGCCTTTTTCTTCTTGGCATTGGTAAGAAAATACCAGGGAATAAATACCAGCATACTGTACAACCAGATTAACAAGTACACAGGCAGCAAGAAAATGGCACACACTTCTAACCTAAATTTCATTGTGGGTATTTGAAAAAGAAATTCCTATGGGGTTCTGAAGCAGGCAAGAGCAAGGCAGCAGTGCAGAGTGGTGTAGGGAGAAGCAACAGTAGGTGAAGCTTAGGTAGTGCTGATTCAGAGCAGCTGCAGAAATTTTAGCAACCTTTGAGAGCCAACAGTAGACACCTGTGGGCGAAAACCAGTGCCAAGCAGAGAGCAGGAAAGAAAAGAAAAAATAATTAGTAATATTACAGTCAGTTAATTAGTTTTAGTACTTCTAAGAACCACTTCATAAGCATCACTGCACAACAGAGCACTGAACTGCTCTGGGGATGAAAGAAGATGAATCTTTTCCGTACTTACTTCTTGCATCCACAAATATTTACTTTTCACAGACTTTTCCTCGCTATTTCTGTTTGAATAGTTCAGGGCTGTTGAGATGAAGTCTGTCCTTCACAACATAATATTGTGTTTAAGCACTTGCGTAATGATACAATTGTGTAATTATGGGAAAGGTCAACAGTTGTTTTCCCACTAAATATTTGTACAACAGAAAATGTACAGGAGATCACTTAACTGCTTTTCAGAATATTCCATCAACTTCTATTCAGATTAAGATGTATCTTGATATACTAAAAAATAATATATAGACTCAAATCTACAAGCTGTAATCTAAAAATTATATAATATTCCAAAACTGCTTTATTAACTTTGCTCCAAGCAACTGCATTTTTCATCTTTTACTTTTCAACTCTGAATGTCAGACTCTTGGAAAGGTATTATGCAGATCTGCTTTTCTAATTTCAAAATCTACTTCAATACATGCATTTCAAACTCCAAGTACAGAAAATAGAATAAAATTTGACCAATTAAATGCAATTTAAAATAAAAATTTAAACTCAATTTACAGTAAAGTACAATTTGGCAAGATTTTGTCTGCATATCAGAAATCTTTCCTCATTAAGGAGAGCTGGGCCTAAATAAGGACTAGTGGTGAGTGGAAGAAAAACAACCATCACAGCAAACCCCAGTCATGGCCAGCTCACTGGCCTGGGACCAGTTTGCACTGGCATGTGAGAGAGGGGTGGTTTTCTTCACCTGGCTGCTGTGCAAACACGGCCTGCTACTACATCACCCGCACTGCCACAGTGGGGAAAATAGAAGGCACAGGTGCGCTAACCAAGGGCAGAACCTCACACAGGCAAGGGAGCCAGTGACACTGACAACCACCATCAGGGAGCCCAGGCTGTCATGGACACCATCTGACAAACAGAATGGCTGAGAATAGGAAAATTCTCAGGGCTCCATCAAGAATTAAAAGAATGTAGGCACACCTCAAAATACATCTTTATTGATATATTTGCCACCCTCAGGTGATGAGGGAGGCTACGATTAACATTTCAGGTTAAACAAGACAACTGCTACTAACAGCAGACAGAAATCAGTTAACAAGTTGGTGGGTTATTTAATGAGAATTTCAACATAAGCAGTTGTGTTGTTGCCAATATCAACAGCTTTAATTAATATAAAATAGAGATCTGCAGGTATTTAAAACAACAAGACTACCACATTAATTTTGTAATTACAACTACAGAATAAAATTACTACTGAATAATAGTATAATAAACTAAGCCAAACTAAACTCATACTTGTATGGATGAAAGTATTCTGCATATTTCTTTTTATAAAAAATTATGAATGCTACATTCTTTTCAAAACGTACATGTTTATTCTGCTCTGGTGAACCTCACAATCAACCTTAGCAGAAAAGAGAAGAGTTTACTTCCCAAGGCTTCAGTTCTCTAAAATTAAGAATTATTCGTTTATAACACAAATCTTGTATCATACTTTCATTCCAGCTAATTCAGTGCTCCAAGCACAGCAGTTGAGCTTCTATTTCAGACAACCCTTGGCTCTAAGATATGGTAACGAAATGTCAGGACACACCCATGGTTACACATAATGCAACAAGTTAAGATAAACCCCAGGGGGAACTCTGGCTGCTCCTCACCTTCCAACAATGAACATACGACCAGGCACACTGACTTGGATAAAAAGCAGAGTTGTCAGAGTACTGGAAACTATTTAACACAATGAGACAGTACCACAGTTTTTCTTTGGGCTGCATAGGAGCTTGTTCAGAAGTGGTCTTACTGTGAAACACTAGTGGCTAATAATCAAGAACTGGATAATTTAGGAAGGGAAGAGAAGGTTGCATTTCTTTAATTTTGGAATTTCAGGTTGATTTGAAATACTTTAAAAAGTGTTTATAAAACCAGAAAATTTAGCTAATTTATGAATATTTGTAGTAATTTAAAAGATAATCACAACTGATTTTTGTCAGGATAGAAATGTAATTCTTAAAAGACATCAGTTGGGAAAACTTAGTGAGTCCCAAAAAGACCACCCTGGCTTTCTCCTTTGAACATGCTCATGCAAAAGCTAACACACACACATGCACACACACGCAGAGGTGTACTTACAAGGGAGCTCACAATGATGACCAAGGTTTTTTCAGGTTGAATAGATCTATAGTAAAACAGGAAAGAAAGAACATAGTAGAATTTGGGATGTTTTTTGCCTTGAAGAAAGGAGAAATCTTTAGAACTTCCACCCTACTACTCCTAAGAAGCACAGACTATGAATTCAGACAGAGGTGCAATACAACCCATACAAAGGAGAGCAATTACAATACAGGAAAAGATTAAGCTTCCAAACTTAAGCGGACAAACAAGAGACGAAACTGCCAAAAAGGAGCTTAATTTTTATGTGACACTACTTCCTCCCTTTTGTATTTAAACATGTTCTGAATAAAATTAAGAACAGAAGCTTAATGCAATTTAATTACCAATGAAACCCAGAAAGACAAGGAAGAAACTTTCATATTGCATATGGTCCATTCTTCTGACTTAAGGCAGAAAAAGAAGCCCTTTGTCACTCTTGAGAGATGGGTATCAGTAAAAACATGAACTCAGGACGACCCATGGCACACATTGCCCAAGAGAACATGAAGTGGATTTGGAGTATTGTGGTAAGAGAAGAGTTTCCAGAACAAAAGCATGTCTATAGAAGCAGTGAGGCCTCATTGGTCTCATGACCAGTGCAATAAAAGATGGCAGTGTGTAACTGCAGAGAAGGCTCCAATAAGTCTACTGCAGAACGCTTTAACTGATGTTTAACCTAGTTATATTTTAAAGGCCTTCCCCATAAGTCTAAGATTTTAATCAGTCTTTACAAGCTGAAACTTGTTGCAGTGCACCATTTAGTTTGGTTTCTCTCCCATGTTATATGGTTTGTTCCCAAATTCCACCCCCAAGTTATGTACTGAATGATTAGAGAAAGGCGGGAAGGGAACAAACCAATCAACCCTAGTCCTGACCCATTTTCCAGATTGTTCCTTGTCCTTCCCCCAAATCCCCTCCTGGCCCCTCCTATCCTTCTAGTAGTTTCTGTATCAGTCATCCCCTTCTCGGCATATGATTTGGTGTTACAAGTGTATCCCCGCTTATGTTTCCCCTTATTGGTTCAGTGCTTATGTGATCCCGCCTTATGTTACACCCCTTGCTCTCCCTGATTGGTCTTTATGGTTTGTACCCTCCCATGGGGGAGGTCCCCTATTCAAGTTGGTGCACAGCCCTGTTCTGTGCCTTTTGTGTTCCTCCTCCCCAACTCCAGTTGTGTACCCTGTCCCTTTCCAATAAACCCTTCCCTGGATGCACGAAAGGATTCCCTCGTGCTCTTTGCTCTCTCCTGGACCGGCCATCAGCACTGTAGCTTGGGCTACACACCCCTACTCCGGGTTCTCCATTGAGATCCTGAAGAGGGGCCACTCGGCACAGGCTTGCCCGGAGCTAGCCGGGGTGTCATTCAGGAGTGGACAAAGGGGCGGGCCGTGTCAGAAACTGAGTTAAATGTCCCTTGCAAAGTTCTCCTACAAAGATTTTTCTCTTGAAATATAAAGAAGAGATCCTATAATGTTTTTAGAGTTGCTTGCATTTGCATGTGGCTGTATAAGATTTTGATCCATTGCAGGATCATCCCAAGCTCATGCTAAATAAATATTTATCATCTGTTAAATATACTGCATATAACAGACTGACATACTCAACATGCAAAGGTATCTCCACACCAGTTGTATTCAGTTAGAAGCCAAATTTAGCTACTCAAATTACACTTATGCCTTCAATCTTCTCCTTAGACTTTAAGAGCAAGGATGAGGTGCAATGCTTACATCAATGCACCAAAGACACTTGAAGGTAAGACAACTACATATTACTGAAGTATAAGTTATGTTCTTCATAAATTTCCTCATTCCTTACAAATAAAATCTAGCATTCATTAAAATATTCACAATAACAAGATAAAACTTATTTAACACTGGAATATTTAGAATATGTAACATTTTCTATTGGTTTACAAAGCTTTCTATTTCTCTTGACTGTTGAACAGAACTAGCCTCTTTAGATACTTATGTAGCTGTTTCAGAAACAGCAGAGCTTCCCGTTCTTGATGCAGGAAATGCATGTTCTCAGAAAGAGCAGTGTGCGTCAGGCATGACTACAAGAAAAAAAACAAACCAAACAAAACCAGACATTTCTCTCCTAGATAGCTGGTTTTCAGCATTTCCAAAGGATTTTCCTCAGGTGAAGCAGCTTCTATTAACTCTGAAGTAGTCTGGAGTTCATTTAAAATTTGCAGTTGTTACATGCTGGAAATCTTACTCATGAAGTAATGTTTCACTTATGGATTTTATACGCTGAGTGTTTACAAAAATTCTGTAGTCCAAGCTTACTCCTGACTGGCACTGTACTTTATGGGCTGCCAAAGATGGAAGAGATGTTATCCAAGTATAATCTGACTTCTATATCCTTAATTAAAAGTTGCAGACAGATAATATGCTGAATACTCTGACAGCTAATACTCTACTTCTGTCCTGTAGCCAGGATCACAGAAGAGAGTCTGAAATCAAAGCACAGTTCTAGAACAGAAAAGACATTCCTCTCTTCCTAATTTAACTCAAATCTAAGAAACAACTAGCAATTATATTTTTTAATATAGAAAAAAGCCTTTTAAATAGTTAGAAAAGCTTATGAGACTAAGAGCAAAAGTCTGTATGGGAAACAGAGAAAGGGTTTATGCCTCTGGAAGTGACTATTCTCAGAGGAGGAAATGCCCTGATCTTCTCTGCATTTGATTCTCCAACCTGAACAGAACCAATTATTCAACATTTACATACACTACTAGAATTTTTAAGTGTAAATCAAAAATCTAAGTACCTATAGCTAGAAATTTTATACTTTGCAGTTTAACTTTAATAAGGTAGAAAATTATTATTTTCACTAGGAAAGGCTTTAATTAGCCCAAGCCCAAAACACTCTAAAGGCTTAATAGTGAAAGAATATTGGCAACACTGTTTATAATCCTTGCTCAGGTATTAAAAAGCTTGCCAGGGATCCAGTTTACTATGGAATAACATGATTAGAAGAAAACACAACTTCATTTTCTGTCTGCTTCGAATATAGTGTTAGTAAAATCATCTAGTAAGAAAGATGACATTAGAGAAGAAAAGGGTTGTGTTCTAGTTTGTGAAGAAAACTGCCATCTGCAAAGCAGACTGATTTTAGTTTAGAAGCAACACCACAGGAAATCTGGTTCCTCTGCATCAGAGCTCTTTGAGCTCTTGCCAACTTCAAATGGAGACACAATTCTGACTTTAGCGTAAGTGTTCAGGGCTCACTCCTGTCAGGAAGTTCTGAAATCTTCCAAAACAATCCAGTATGTGTAAGTAACAACCATTTCTGGAATTTCTCTAGCATCCAGGCACATCTAAATATTTTGGAATGACTGAGCATTCAGGATTTGTAACTGGAAAAGTGGTTTTATGCAGCAAAAAAAAAAAAAAAAGAAAAAGAGTTGACCTGAGTAAGTATGTGGTGTTCAGTTAGTCCATTTTTGGAAGGGAACTTAGTTGGTATTTAGCCATCCTGAATTTGTTCCAGTACAGGACAGAACAAGGCTGGGATTTCAAAAAGAGATGACACAAAGACTAAGAAATACCACCATAGCAAGGAAGATGTAGCACATTAAGCAAATGAGTGCATATGGTCAGGCTCTCTGCAAGTTTTGATATTCCAGACTTATACCTAACACACACAGGAATGAGAAACCATTTTCCAGAGCTGAGAAGACTGTGATGAAATAGCAGTAAGAATTAGAAGAATCTGGTCGCTAATTACAACTTAGTTCAGGTTAGAAAGATTGAAAAAAAAAAAAAGAAGAAATTATTCTGTTTTTTGCATCATATTGGTGTTTTTATAAAAACAAACTTCAGCAATATTAATTCAAGTTACTCATGGTAGGAAGCAAAGTTCATGAGGTCTTATTTTTCTTTCTTTCTTTCTTTCTCACAGGCAGATTTCTAGGTATTTTCCTCTTGCACATTTTGGCACATCACAAAGGGCAGTGAAAATTCAGAGAAAGCCTAACCAAACCTAACCAATTTTCAGAAGTACTTCTGTGCTCTGGGAATGCAATAGAAGCTCAAAGCCTGAGAGTTTGAGAGCTCTCACTATGTCTGTACAGTGTAAATACTGGTACCTATGTCCCAACAAACAGGGAGAGGGGAAATCAGTTGTAGTGGATCCTGATACAAGTTTAAATATATACATTCTACTTGAAATAGCAAAATAACAAGTAGTATTAGGAAACTGTTTCTCTTACTGCTGCTTAAAAAATACTGCTGCTTAATATGATACTCAGCTAACAGCAAAGGTAAGATTTATTTTTGGTTTTAAGAAAAATATTATTGTTGTCCTTTATGTTCGTTGCTTCTGCTTACTACCTCACAACATATATGTACTTAAAGTCAATCAGAAAAAAAATCAATTTGTGTCCAACATCTATTTCTGCAACAAGTACTGTAGTAGAAGCTAGCCCAGCCACACTGACCCAGTAGTTCTCAATTATCTAAGAGCCTGGTTTGAAACTCTCTCCTAATTTGTAACTTGAGTGCGAGCAAATATTTGGTGAAAGGCTAAGAGCTGTTTGCATGCCCCAAAGGCAGAAAACTTTAAAGACCACGGCAAGATTCCACAACTGAAAACCGTCCATTGCGACTACACTGATTTGGGAAAGTACTTCCTCTGACTCACCTGTTCCTTTGTCTCAAATTCTATCCAGAACCTGTCCTGTGAGTACCTGAGGCTTTTTCACTGCAGCAATGCCTCTCCCAAAAGCTGTACCCAACCTGTGCTGTGCTCTGGTCACACACAACCTGGGCTGCACAGGCTGTCAAGTCACAAAACCACAGAATCATAGAATGTTAAGGGGTTGGAATGGACCTCAAAGCTAATTTTGTTCCATCCCCCTGCCCTGGGCAGATACCTTCTACCAGAATAGGTTGCTCAAGGCCCCATCAAGAATGGTCTTGAATAACTCCAGGAATGGGGCATCTACAGCCTCTCTAGGCAGCCTGTTCCAGGCCTCACCACCCTCACTAGAAAAATTCTTCCTATTACCTAAACTAATCT